ATAAAGTTATACTTTTCTGAAGAACAAAATCAAGGTACAGGTACAGTAGCAACATGATTGAGATGGAAGTAGAAGAGGTATTTGGACTTACTCCATGAGTCATTCATTGCCTACTAAATACACATAAAATATCCATTCAAAAATACATACAAATAAACTAGGGCTCTGTAATATATATGTATAAATGTATCATTAATTTTAGAAATATAATATAAAAGCATATAGATATAAATTACTCCAATATGGTGAGGCAGTAAGAATTATAACAGCTCTCTTTTGTTTGTTTTATAAAAACTTGTGCCATAATAATAATACGTTTTCTTAACCTAGTGGTAATAGGGTTAACAGGAGGACACACACATAACAAAGAGTTAAGTAAAAGTTGACAAAGATTCATGTCCAGATCACATGGTTTAAAAATTAAATTCAATAAGGCTCAATACCCTGTGAAGCTAAAGTAAGAACTCGTTAGCACTTAAAAGAAGGAATGTATATGTTTTTTTCAATTGTCATTTGTTCTTTATTAGGAAGAAATATTAAATACATATATGTGTGTATATGTATATTTTTAATCTCGTTCCATCTTAATATTTAACACATAAAAGTAACAAGTGCATTTGATACACTGCATATTGGATTGATTCTGTGCCTGGCTTTGCCATTGGTGAGTTGTAGAACCTTCTGGAAACAATTTACATCTCTGTGACAGTTACCCCAGATGTGAAAAGTATCAAGTGTCAATGGATGATGGTTTTCTATTTTCTATTGTTTTTATTTGCTGACATGTCGAAATAGTATATATTTTGAAATATTTTAAATATCATATATTCTGATCTGTTATGTCAATAAACTATTTTCCAGTAACTAGAACTAAATTAGGCACTTTTGAAGGTTTATTTAAGTTTTTCAAAGATTATAATCCCATATGATAATTTATGTTTTGCTGAAGTGAATTCATGAAGAGATTCTTATCTCTCATACAGCGCCAATAAAGTTGTCTAGATTGTCAAAGGAAAGAACTCTTGTACAACTGTTCAAATAGTTATTGTAAAATCATTTTGCTGTAGAAGAGTGGTAAACTACTACTTTATGAAGTAAAATTAAAGCGTTTGCTTCAATGTTGAACTTTATTTAGATTTGTTGTCAATTACTTTGGGCTACGTTTAATGAGAAAAAAATAGCTTTAAATAACAATATACTGTTCCTTATCTCATCTGACAGTTGTACCAAGGGATATTTTGTAAAAATCCTACAAGATCCAAATAAATTAGAATCCCTATTTTACTTTCTAAACCTGTGGAGGTATCTTCATAATCTTGACTAGAAAACAGTTGTAGTTAGTTTTGTCTCCTGAAACTCTCTTATTATCCATTGTCACACACAAAATAACAGATTATTCTAAGCCAAGAATTGAGTCTATAATTCACTCTTGGCACTTTTGAGTTTTGTTTAATTTAGACAAAAGCCTAAGTACTTTGGAGTAATTTTGATATCAGAAATTTTATGAAATTACCTTATACTATGTTGATACATTCAATATATTATTTTCTTAAATATCTGTTCATCATTATTTAATTCGTGAACAAAACACATGATAGGAGTAGAAAATAAAAAACTGAGCATGTTCCAGGTTGATGGCTATTGTAGCAGGTGATTTCAAAAAGAGCTTCCAGATAATTCCCTTGAGAGTTGCCAACTGAAAGGTGTTAGCAGTATATATAACCCCTGGTAACCACAAAGAAGAGAAGGCTAAGAGTAACTTCAGTCAACTCAGGATAAAAACTTTGGTTCCATGATAACTTAATAGGACAGACTCAACAGCTTCGGAAATCACATTTAAGCAGGTCTCTCACACATAATTGCTGCACTATTTAACTGTACAAAAGAAAGTATTGTTTTTCAATGTTTATAAGATGTTCTTATTAAAAGACATAGAAAGGATTCTGAATTTTTAAAATTCCTTTATGCCAATAAGTCTCAAATTTAAAAAGTGTTGTTTTTCTTTCAAGTAGGGTGTATTCTCTTAGTACAAGGTGTGCTTGTTAATGAGGATGTATTTCCCAAGGCCTAAAATTAAAAGGCTGCATAGGATACAAAATAGACAATCATAGATTCTCTGAGAAACAGAGCACGTATAAAGAAAGTGACCCCATCAAACTATGTCTGCCCACTTTAATGCTGGCATGGATTTTAGTCAAAATCGTCAACAGTCCTGTCAGTCAGTCTCGAGCTGATTGCAGAAATTCAGAAAATTCTGATAATTTAATATGATTACGATGAAATTAAGTTACATCTACCACAACATAGGATGTCATTAAGTTGATCAAACTAATATTGGTAAATTCCTTCAATCATACTCAACACCATCAACAAATGAGAACTTGGCAAAATTATACAACTTAAAATATATAAAAAGAAAATAAGAAGAGAAGTCCAAAAGAGCATGCTGAACATCCAAGTATTAATAAAGGAAATGTTTATATAACTAAATATGTCCAAAATATTTTTCAGAAATGATCACTTGAAGAAAATCACATTATCATATAATGTCTATAAGATTATGCCAAAAAAATCATTTTTGCAAACATAACCTAATTTTCTTTAATAGAAGATAAAATAGTATAATTTAAATAAATATATTAGTTCTTTTAGGATAAAGTCCCAATTGTTTTTTTCTACTCTTCAAATAAAGTTTTGTTCCTTTCTTTAAGTAGTTCTTAAAGCAGTAGCCTCTACCTATACCAGTTTATCTTAGATATGAAAAACCTTCTACACTTACTGTTTCCTAACCCATTTCGTGTCCATGAAAGCCAGAGAGAAGTTGACATTGTAACAATCAAAACCCATGCATAAACTGAAGAGAAATCTAACTATGGTAAATGTTCATTCTTTACTCTACTTTCCCAGTGATTTGTTCCATCCTAAGGATATAGAGTTTTAGATATGTTCCAGTGACATTTTCCTGTTGATTTTAATAATAACCTTAATATCAGCACACTGAGTCTCCCTATGCAATAAGAAAGTAACAGTGTACAAATATTAATTATAATAATTGGAGTAACAACTGTCCAATTTAACGTAAATCTTTTATAGTGTTTATAGTATGTAGATTTACAGAATATAGGCATATTCATACTAGTTCTAAAAGAATTTTCCTTTGTAAATAGAGGTTTGTCCATCTTTTCCCTTAGTTTGATACAGAACACCAGGTAGTCACACAAATTCTTGCATTTACTGGGATACATAAAATGGAACTCAACAGAAGCCAACAGAAAATTGAATTCAAATATTTACAGAAGCAATACAAAGGACTGAGGTCGAGATACAACAGTAGAAAAGAAACAGAAGAACTAACAGGTTAAAAACTGACTGTGCATGTGTGTTTGATAAAGAGAGGCAGAAGAAAAGGGTAGAACAAAATTTCAGAAGTGACACAGATTCCCACCCACCTGGATACCTGCCACAGGGGCATTGCCACTAAGAAAGTCAACTTATGGGAGATAGATCTGATATGCCAGGTGTGAGAAGATAGCCAAGGAAGTACTTAATAGAATGTTGAAATATATATGACTGAAGCTGGGGAATCAGACTAAAGCAATGCAAGTACACTTTGAGTCATCTCATCCAAACTAGAAATAAAAGGAGCTAGACTATTAAATGAAACTAACATTGTGTGCCATCCAATGGCCCAATACTGTGATGTCAATTAAACTTTGCATGCACTCATTTTAATCCTTAAAGATTTAAGAGGTAGAGTTATTAGCCTCATTTCTAACGTGAAGAAAGTAAGCCTCATAAAAGTTAAGAAACTTAATGAGGGAACTGGGGTATTCTGAGATCCAGGCCTTACCCTCATCACAGCACTGTGCTGCCTCTTCAGAATAATATCTGGGAACATGGACCAAATGAAATCTCTAAGCCAGTTATAATGTGAAGAAAAGAATAGAGAGCCAAACACAAGAATTCTGAACTTACCATTATCCTACAGAGCCTTAGGGCCTTCTAGCACTGGGTACATTTTCATCAAGTTCTTAGAAAACTTCAATGAAAACATCTATTAAAATCAGCCAAGTGGAACTTGGGTTTCCATAATCAGCAGGACTCAAGCAACTTATCCCTGGGGCATATCACCAAATACAACAAACAGGGCAGTGAACTAACCCTCCTTCAAATGCTAATTTGTTTCTACTTCCACAGTTTAGTCTAGAGTTTCGTCTTTATAGTGTGAATGATCTTTATTCTGTATTAATGATCTTACCAACAAGAATTAAATTTCCACACTATGGAACAGGCCTAACCTTCAGGAACTTGGCAACTGCTAAGTGTTTGTTTGGAGAATTTCATGTTGGGAACCCCCTCCCACATCAAAATGCTACAGACCAGATTTGGCTTCTCATCCAGTGTGATGGGTCAGGTTCTAGTTTTCTTTGTTTTTGCTCTCTGATAGCCCCCTCTGCTACCCAAGTAAATTCTTTTAGTCTTTCACAGAAAGATGTCTCCAAAAATTGTAAGGGCTATTTTTCTAGGAATTCTCTTTGACCCGTTGCTCACTCTACTTTTGCTGTTCACGTAACAGAGATGAAACAACCTAAGAGTAAATTTTCTTTCATCTTTTTTTTTTTCTCTCATTTTTTTTTAACTTCAGTATTTCTTCTCTAATGGGATCCTGGTAATATGCTAAATAAAGCTCTTTTACATTATCCAAACAGCTAGTCAATGCAGCAATATGTTATGAGACTTTGATAAAGAAAGAGAAAAGAAATTAGTCCCTTGCTAGGTTAAATTACATTGTTTTCCAATCCTGTCGGTTCAACCAAATAAGGATATGCAGTCAACAGAATTCATAGTAAGAGAGTAAGTTCAAGAATCCACAAAGAAGAGTTTCTTCTATGGGGTTTGAATAGATTTTCGCAGTTTGATGGAATTGTGTTAGACAAGAAGTTGAATTTCAAAAAAAGAAGCATATGTTTGAAGAAAGAAATCTGCATTAATTCACTTACTGAAATAACAACGACAGGATACAAAATGGAAAGATGACTCTCTTTAAGCATATTCAGTAGTTTCTTGGTTTCTTCAAATTCAGAGGTCATAACCTGAAAGACCAGAAAGGTAAAAAAGGTGAAAAGAAGTTCTTAAATTATATAAAAGTTAATTCAAGGAGAAAACATGGAGAACTTCTATACAATCACTCAAAATATTTATAAAGCTCGATTTTTAATTTTTAATCAGTTTTAAAGAGCACCCATAAGTTTATACCTATTAAGTGTATATTAGTTATTAATTTGAACCTGTGTTGTCTTATCTGCTTTACCAAATACAAAACAGAAAACTGAAAATACTGTCCAAGAAAATATCACCATCTTCTCATGATGAGGATTAGCTTGTTAGAAAATGTTCTTCTCCTATTTCAAAAGAAAACGTCCAAGTACATATCAAATGACACAACTCACCTGTCAAAACCTTAAAATCAAATATTTACTGATCAAGACACATAGGTTCTCTTCCCCATTACATGTGTAACATCCCCAAGTGCTTTCGGTCATTTGTATTTACTACTTACATTCACGCAAACAAAACTGTAGCATTGCTCTAAGATGATTTGCTGGAGATCTCTGCCAGCTTGACACAGAGGCCCAGATGTGACTTTCACATGCTAGGAGAGAAAAAATAGAGGGGGAAAACAGAGTTTACAAATTAGATAGAAAGACCAAACATGAACATGAACAACTTTGTTATAAATGAATAAAAATTTGCTGTAGACACATAGAGCCAAGGACCATATGTAAAAACAAATAATTCAGGCTAAACTTTATGGGGATATCAAGAGAAAAAGCATTTGAACTAGTTCGTAAATAATGATTATTATTTTAGCAAACAAGGATATTGGGAAATTATTTCAGATAAGAAAAATAGGTTAAAAAGGCACAGGATAAATTCCCATACAGGCAAGTAGTCGGCGGTTTTTCTTACACAAAGAATGTATTGCAGAGAATGTTGGAATAAAATTGAAAGGTTGGTTAGCTTGTTGGAGGATTCTGGAAGCATGTTAAATTACTATAGTTACAAAGAACAGGTTTAACAAAACCTGGAGAGACTAGAAGCCAGGAAAGCAATAAGAACTTATTATATGTGAAAGAGAAAAGAGTTGAACTAGTGAACTAGGGCAATGACAAAAAGATAAAAGAAGAGGCAAAGAGATAATTACAAGTGGTAGCCCCAAACTACATTTAGAAGAAATGGTACATATATTACAAACACTTACCTAACAAGATTTTTATTCCATATAGTTCAATATTCTAATTAATTTATATTACAACTTAATTATGAGACAAGGGATCTGTTTAGTAATGTGTGTGTGTGTGTGTGTGTGTGTGTGTGTGTGTGTGTGTGTGTGTATTACATGAATGTGTGTGTAATTCCTTTTAGATTAAATCTAAAATTGTGGATTTGTCATTAAACTACTCCAGATCTACATATATTCTATTCAAATCTTAATCATCCAACTTCACTCAACACAAATATTCTTAAACTCGAAGGTCACAAACACAACTCATTCTTGCCTGTGATGGCCATCCCATGTTGACTTCAATATATAGTGTTTCCTTATTAAAACTATTATATAAATATATATTTCCTAAACTTGATTATGAACAGTTAATAAATATAAGCACTTAGAAAATAGGATATAGATATAGAAAGCACAGTACCCAGCATAAGTTTTAGTTGTTCCTCTTCTTATTAAAATATATTTGCTCTACTATTATGTATAACTAAATTAAAAGCTTCATGAAATGCACGTGCAGTGTTATTACAAATGGTATTAAATATATAATCATTTTGTATCCCCTTTTAAAAAAAACTCACAAAACAAAATTATTATTTTTTCCTTCTTGAAATTGAGACTCCTTTAATAATTGTTTCCAGTTAAGTGTAATTATTTTATTTGGTTATATTGCTTTCCTTCCAAGCAGAAACAAACAGTACTTTCCATGCTTGAGTAAAGAAATTTAGAGATTACCTAAATATAGCAAAGGAGTCTTTGACACCTTTAATAAACAAAGGCTGCATTAGACAATGCTATTAGGTTGTTTATGAAAAAGCTCTACAGCATCATCTTATGCTGTCATTCCTAATGTTTCCACACTCACACACAACAAATGGAACAATCTGCTGGATAGAAGAACTCCTTGTTCTGTAAATATTTTGGTTCAAAGAACATTTAAACAAAATTTAAAACAACCTTCCAATGTGTTCAGTAAAATTGAAGTATACAAAAAATAAAATGAAATTCTTTCTTTACATCATAACAAATAAGAATTTAGAAAAAAAAAATTAGTGTTAACTAAATGCAGACATCTGCATATTCAGAATATTACTTAAAGCACGAATTTTAGGAAAGAAGATAGGCTGTCAACAAATGTTTTCCATTTCAAGAAGAGTTAAGGCTTAACTGAGGATAAGAGGCTTTGGTTCATGTCCCATGAGTCAGAGGTTCAAAAACCTTTTTTTACAGACAGAATATGTTGGTTAAATCATCTCTGAATCTGAATCCCTCAATTTTTACCCCTTCCTCTTTAAACAATGGCACCAATGTGGGTATAAAGAAGGGAATTGGAGAGAGATGCATTTGCATTCTACCCCGTAAACAACACTAAGAATTAAAAGGTTATGGTGGTCTGGGGCTGGGGTATGGGAGAAATGGGGAGATGTTGGTCTAAAGGTACAGAATTTCAGCCCCACTTCTAGAGATATATCCTAAGAAACCTGAAACACCAATCGAAAAGAATGTGTGTACCCCTATGTTTATAGCAGCACAATTTACCATAGCTAAGATCTGTAAACAACCCAAGTGCCAACTAGTAGATGAATGGAGAAAAAAGCTGTGGTACATTTACACCATGGAATACTGTGCAGTGCCAAAAAAGAAGGCTCTTTGACACTTTGAGACAGCATGGAGGGACCTGGAAAATATTATGCCAAGCGAAATAAGCCAATCATGGAAAGGCAAGTATCACATGATCTCACTTATACGTGGAATCTAATGAACAAAATAAACTGTTGAACAACACAGATCCAGAGAGACTGAGGCATGAAATAGACTGTCAAATCTCAGAGGGAAGGTGGGAGTGGGTGGATGGGTGGGGAGAAAGAGATCAACCAAAAAACTTGTATGCATACATGCATAACCCTTGGGCACAGACAATAGGATGGTGGAGACCTGGGGCCAGGATCCTTGGAAAAAAATAGGGGATACATGTAATTCTTATAACAATATATATTTTTTTTAAGTTTTAGTTATGCAAGATGAATATATTCTGGAGTTCTATTGTGTAGCATGTTGACTGTAATTAACAATACTGTATGTATATTTGAAATTTACTCAGAAAGTAAAGCTTAAGTGTGTTTTTTTTTTTAAATAAAAAAGGAAGAAAATGGTAACTATATAAGGTGATGGATAAGTTCATTAGCTTGACTGTGGTGATCATTTCAAAGTGCATAGTAAGATATCAAGTTGTATATCTTAAATACACACAATTTTTATTTGACAAAGATACCTTCAAAAAGCTGGGAGGGAAAGACGTTCTATAATGCAAACCCAAGTTTTTGAAGGGACCCTTCTATAGCGATGACTGTTGCCCACTGAAGGCTCAGACTGGCCGTCAGCTCATCAGTCACTGACTTGATCAGAGCTGTCTCCAGCCTGTGGGTGCTGCACCTGGGCCTTCAGCCAGAGGATAACAGCCAGGGCCTCCCCATCTTTATTCTTAGAATATTCACCTAAGATACTCCTTTAAGTAGTACTCACTATTTTCAAATTTTGAGTTGCCAATTAAATTTTTCTTCATGGTTATTTTTAGACTTCTGTGAAGGTTTTGCCCACCCAGGATTCAGCATTTACTGTACTGCTTTTATTTTTATTTTTATTTTTTAATATATTTTATTGATTTTTTTACAGAGAGAAAGAGAGGGATAGAAAGTTAGAAACATCGATGAGAGAGAATCATCAATCAGCTGCCTCCTGCACACTCCCCACTGGGGATATGCCCGCAACCAAGGTACATGCCCTTGACTGGAATCGAACCTGGGACCTTTCAGTCCACAAGCCAACACTCTATCCACTGAGCCAAACCAGTTTTGGCTTATTTTTATTTTTGAGTTAGCTTTAAAGCATTATTTTGTAGTTATGAGCATGGCCTCTGAAGCCAAGCTCCCTGGATGTGAATCTAGCTCTGCAACAAACCTGCAGAATACTCATTAGGAAAAGCAATACTTCAAGATGGTTTGGAAGATTGGTTAAATTAATAGGTGAGATTTAAGGATTAGTTTTTACAGGAATTCATCCCTATAGGTTAGAATCCTGGAAAGCTTCAGAGAAAACAGCTTTCAGGCAACGAATCTCAGTAGAGTTTTGAGGTAACAAATGAACCAGGTTCCTCTGCCGCCATGTTAAATGGATCTCCAACCACAAACACTGAGTTGCTGGATCATACCAGTGGCCACCACAAGACTCACACCCTAGCCCCGTGGTCAGAAAACTGCCGCTCGAGAGCCACATGCGGCTCTTTGGCCCCTTGAGTGTGGCTCTTCCACAAAATATTTGCCTGGGCGAGTCTATTTTGAATTAGTGGCATTAGAAGAAGTTTTAAGCTTAAAAAAATTGGCTCTCAAAACAAATTTCAAACTTTTTACTATTGACATGTGGCTCTGTTGACTAATGAGTTTGCCAACCACTGCCCTAGCCTGTTGGATAGACTAGGAAAGTGTTGATATTCTCCCAACCCTAAATGCTGGACAGGAAGAACAGCTCTCGAACCAAGCTGCTGCCATGGTACTCGGTTGTTGAATCCCAGTTTCTTACCACACCCAGGGAAGGGCTGATGCTTCCCTAGTAATTCAGCTTCAAAGCCACACTACACCGAGGTTGGAGTCTAACAGTCAGCGTGGTAGATCCATTTGCCCTGCCACATAATGCCCTGGATGCTGTCTCCATTCGAGACCATACACTTTTCCTCAATACCACTGTTCTAAAGTCTAAAGTCTAGTGTGAATGCTGCTATGTCAGCCAACCTTGTACATATTGCTATATTAAATATTTGCTATCATCACTCTACTCACTTTCATTTAATCCCCACTTCTGATAATTCCCTCTGAAGGCCAAGTATTGTTCTATGCAAAAGTATAGGAATGTTCAATGGAAAAAAATAGCCTTAATACTATTAATAATAAACCTGAGCACAAAAAAGTCAAGGTTTCCGTAATATCATACAGTTATGTCCAAATCTAGATAATGTCTAAACAAAAAAAACTAAGCTGCCAAATGCACATTGACTAAAGTTTATTTTTTCCATTGAATTTTATCACAGATGTAAAGTTACGTATAACTAATGGGCAATATTGCAGCAAATGAAAAATGACTAGGGTAGCTCATATAAATTGTGTTTGGCAGGCATATTTTGCAAATATCATCCTTTTTTTTTTTCTCCAGGATGACAGGTTAAAAAGGTATGTGCAGCAATATAACCTCTTTGTGTTTTGTAGTAATGCATAAAACATTTGCAAGCTGAGAATTGGCAAGCTGACATAAACAAATCTTATCTGTCTTAATAAAAAATCATGAAGAATAGAGTATCCTATCCACTGATGGATGAGCTT